AGGAAAACCCATGCACACACACACTCAGGTTATCTACGTGGCATGCACGGTGCTCCTTTTTACAAAACTTATAAGAGTTTGGAGTGGTGGCACCCTCAGTAAGTAGCATCGTTCTATTTTAAATATTTTAATTTCCATTTCACCCTTGATTTCTGTGTTCCTTTCATCCCATTAGGGAACAGAATTCGGGCTCTGCCTAGTGACAAAATCAATCCACTTGTGAGACTACTTCACATTTTAAAAAGCACACCACTCCATTTTCAGTCCTCCTGACGTGAGTCCTTTCTTCGCGCAGGCTGGCTCCAAGACACGTCCTCTACCTACTTTACACCAAGAACCCTCAACATCCTAACCTCTTACCATTCACTGCACCTTCTCTGCAAGATCTCAACCTTGAATCACTCCAACCTGAAAAGGCACTCCCCCTATGTCACTTCTTCCAGAGCTTTCTTTTCTTGATCTCCTCCCATCCTGATGTGATCCAGTCCCCCTTAGAAATCTCGTACCACTCTGTATGGCTGGTGTCTCGGATGCACAATCATCTCTACCACTCTCGTGACAGTTACTTATTTTGCCTTGTTATTTGCAAAGAAATCTAGAATTTTGTATACTGAATTTGTTAAATGGTCACAACATTAAAAGAACTGAGAAAACATCCATGGAACAGTTAATGTATTTATTATTGTTATAATTTAATGAAAAGGCAGTGTTTGTTAGATATTTCACTGGAAAATTCTTAATTCTTGTCACTGAAACCTGTAAGCAACTGAGCAGCTTCTGTCTGTACCTAAAATATAAGAATAAATGTTGCAAATCAACAGTACAGCAGAAATCAACTTGTGAAATTTAAGTTCATAAAATCTAAGAGTTTCCAAAAAGCCAGGAGAGCACACTATAAAATTTCTTTTATCTTGACCTGGTGAGACTCACAGAGCCCTTCCACATTAGTACACACCCCTTGCTTTTTATGTTCTAGAAATCTTACTTGATCTGCTGTATATATCAAACAGGACTAATTCTACACTGCAACACATAATTCATACATCTGTTGATAGTAGCTATTTGCTATTATACACACTTGAAATTAACACTGTTATTTTAACAATATGCACTTAGACAACTACGCTTTTCAAGAAGTTCCTAATTCACCTGTACTTCATGGTGCCTCAGTGGAAACCTAATAGCCTTACCCTATTGGTGACATTTTACCTGTTTATCCTCCTCTGTGTGCACTGGGTAGTCCTTGGCTTTTGTTAGCCAGAAAGCAGCAAGCTTTTTGTTACGTAGCTTCAAATACGTCTTTCCTAACAGAAGCAAGTTTTTGCTGTAGAAGTTTGGTTCCACTGTACATAAGAAAGAAAAAAAATTTATCTCACGTGAAAGAGTATTGCTCTTATTTTTAAGGGCTTAGTTTTTTGGCCTAAATTCCAGTAATATTTTGTGTGGTCAATACATGATTAGGCTAATTGGAATTCCCTTTTGTTCTATCATTCTATTCATATCTCAAAAATTTTATAATATAATTACTATTTATTGAGTGTCTACTATGTGCTAGGCACTACAGTATATACATTTCTCATTTCCCACAAGTGTATAAAATAGATACTCCATGTAGGAGGAAAACATGGTCCTGAGAGAATGTACGCCCCGTAAGGACAGGGGTTTTCTCTGTATAATCACTTTTATTCTCTGTATCCTGAGTGCCTAGAACAGTGCCTGGAACTGTACTCAATGCACATTTGCTGGATGAGTGAATGAAATCATGATGCTACACACATATGCGATCAGTGTTTACTGAATGTGGGCTATCCTCAAACATCGCTAAAACAGAGTCACTGCTCTTTGGGAATTTACAATAAGGAGACGCAAGCATGAGCACAACCAAGCGTCACATGAGAGTAAAAGGAAGGCTCTCACTGGTGGACACAGTTGAAGTGCTGTGAGAAACCAAAGAAAAAACAACTGACACCTGGGCTGACTTGGAGGCTGAAGAGGATTTTAACAGAAAAGGGGAGAACATTCCTGGCTGAGGGAAAAATGTGAACAAAAGCCTATGAATGAAATCATGTGACTGTTTCACTAACTTCATTAACTCTTTACAGTTTGCTCCTATCAACCTGGGACCCTTCTATATTCAAAGCATACTTTTTCCTGGATATAATTTATGATTAACTCCGTTTGCTCCTTAACCCAAAATTTACTTTAATTTGAACACACTGTGAGATGCCATGGCGATGTGCTTAAGGTTTCCCTGCAGTTAAGTAAATTCATTCATTTTTTCATTCATCTACTTATTCAGCAAATCTGCCAAGCATTATATTAAACAATGAGGATGCAGCTGGGAGCAAGAAGACAGTCCCCACTTTACCTGAATTTGGTTTTAGACACATAAACTTCATACTGTGGAACGATAAGGGCCATGATGGTGGAAGTAAGAGGTATTGAAGCATAGGAGAAGCTTCCAAACCAGTCATGGGCCATAAGGAAAGGCTGCCTAAAGGCTGCCTTCAAGGTAAAGCCTGGAGGGTGACTGGAATTCCTGAGGATTATTTTAGCTCCACAAGAATATGACCATGTTTTTCTCAACATCCCGAACCCCTAGGTCTCTAAGGCCCTATTTTAACTTTACAGTTACACTTGTAAGTCTCTCTGAGGAAACCGCATTCCCAGGTCATATCTATGATATGTAAAACTACCATTATGAGAGGATATCAGTGGAAGATGGTAACAGTAAATGAGGATAAATACATTACAGAGAGTTAAAATGCAGACAATTCTTTAGAAGTAATGTTTTAAAAAATGCTTTGCTATCAATGAAAGCTTTTGAACAAGCTCGTATGAGCAGGCTCTCAAATGTAATAAACTGTCTTTAGTTTTCTTCTGATTAAGTTTTACAGAAATATATTTGCTTTTCTTTTTTTTCTTTTTTTCGGTGTTCCTGGCAACACAGGGCTTCTGTCCCTTACTTCTCTAGTGTGTGCTGTAAGTATTAGGGAGGATAAACAGGATAGGCTGATGTTAGTTTCTAGACTGGCTATTTCTTCAAGTAAGAGTGACATGAAACTCTTCTTCACAAAAGGCAGTTAATCTGCAGCAGAACAAAAACTGGCCTGAGAGGTTTTTTTAAAACCAGGTCTCATCTAATTGCCATCTGAAATTTGCAAAGGGTCAATCTTGAAAAAGTACTTTTTTCTTATTATGTAAGGTGACAGGTGTTAACTACACTCACTGTTGTAGCTTTTCGCAGTGTACACAAATATCAAATCATTATGTTGTACACGTGAAACTAATACATCAATTACACTTCAATTTTAAAAAATAAAAATTTTAAATGAAAATAAACACATGCCTCTAATTGGCTGTGTAATCTTGAATAAACAGTTAAATCTTGACAGGTTAGCTCTTCAGGATTACACAGCCTTCTCAAAAAGGAAGGCTGAATTCCACTGAAAGAAGGACCATTCCAGAACTGCAGCTCTGAATTCAGAAGTGGCCTGTTTCTCTTACTCAGGTGATCTTTAAATAAGGACTTTAAAAATTATTGGATAATGTCTAGCTAAAAAGTTTATTAAATATATCAGAACAAATTATTTTTGTTTAAAAAATTTCTATTATACATATGAAGCATTCATCAATTTTAACAATTAGTATGTGAAATAAAAAATGTTACCTTGCTCTGCTCTGTGAAAGTAGCCTAGAGCCTGTTAAAAACACAAAGAGCCCAAACATAAGGAAAAGGATTAAAACAGAATCAATCCTAAAAAAGCATTTTCTCGAAAGATCTATTACTGTGTTAAATATAAGATAGGAAGTACATGAAAACATCTTAAAATAATGGTCCCCCTTAAAAAAAATGATCAATTCATCAACA